TGTTGGTGGCCCATCTGTGTACCCGGTGGGGCACCACTGATTGGTGACGGGTAGGTCCGTAACATAATCTTTATCCTATTTTTCTACAATTGTAGGCGATAGGCGTTAAATTTAAAAAGGCCTACAGGCTATAGACACTTCCTAGTGCCTATAGATAGGCGATATCGTAGTCTAGACTTCGGTATAACCTACTCTAACCTAGACCTAACCTAACCCAAAATAGGTTTTAGGTTATAGTTTATAACCTAAAACCTAGTAGGTAACTGATACCATTGACTCAATCATCTGCCTGAGCTTATGATTGAAATGCATTTCAAGGCGTTCAGTCCAGCTCTCTATTTTGACAGAGCTCCACTAAACTCTTCTGCAACTATTTTTTTTTCGAGATTGTAAGCTCGAGCAGAAATGCCTCAGCCTGAACGAATCTGTTCTCGGGACTGATATGACATCATACAGTATCTGGACTTATTGCGGGACTGGGAGATTGAGACCAAGGGTATTGTATGCTACAATGCCAGTGTGATAAGCTAAAAGCTACTTCTTAAGAAAAGCAGTCTGGGACAGCATTGTGGTCCCAGAGTCCACCCACGGACGGGTTCAAATTGGGTTGACTCATGATTGCTCATATCTGATCACCGCATCGTGATTGGCCAACATCCCCACCTACACAGCGGTATCCAGCCCCTCTAGAAGCTATAAAAGACAGTCTCACGCTGCGTGAATCAAAGTTCGCGACATCCCTCCACATCTTATAAACTCGATTACCTCTACCTCAACCTCAACCTCTAAAATGGAATACCTTCTACCTGCTGGGATGCATATCATCCCCTCCGACCTTCTCGATCTACGCCCAGACGCCGACATAGACTTCGACCTCCTAAATCCCCAGCCAGTAAAGGGCGTCAAAAATATTTGGTTCTTCTGGCATTCGGGCTACGCCAACATGCACCCTTACACGCAGCGCACAGTGCGCGCATGGCACCGCCGTTTCACCAAGCAAGGGTGGAGTGTGCGAATCATCGACCGGCAACCTGGATCGAATGGCAATATCGCCGAGTTCTTAGATGTCACGAATCCAGAAATCTTTCCACGCGCTTTTACAGATGAGACTCTCACTGGCCCTTACGCGCTACAACACACTTCGGACCTTGTTCGTTGGCCGTTGCTCCTACGATACGGGGGTGTCTATGCGGACGTGGGTATGATGCAAATTGGCGACCTGGATACGTTATGGATTGAGACAGTTGCAAATCCTGACTCTCCATACGAGGTTCTATCTTATACACCCAGCGGTCAAGATCAATACAGTTTGTGCAATTATTTTCTCGCCGCATTGCCAAATAACGCACTCTTCGCTCGCTGCCATCGTCTGCTTCTCGCCCTTTGGGGTGTAGATGGTGGTAAAACAAGCACCGAGGGCATGTACGCTAGTCCACTCCTTCAAGGCGTTCCTCTGATGGGTGGTGAATTTACAATTACCGAAGATGATGGGACTTTCATCGGTCCTGCCGAGGTCAGCCGCCTTTTGACCGACTATATCATTCAGGGCCAGGTGGCAACCGCGGTAATGGGATTGGTCGATGCCGACGATAATTGGGACGGTCCGGCCTATTGCATGGATCATTTTTACGCGATTGAGTTCATGGAGGGGTCGCAACTGATCAATGAGTTAACTGCCTGGAACGGACAGGAGGCGTTCGATTTGTTGTCACTTCCCATGCCGAGAGAAGGGGAGGAGGAGTCTGGGAAGCAACAAAAGGCTCGTGAGATTGTTGAGGCTTGTCTGTCGCGCAGCTTTGGATTCAAGCTTGCTCACGGGCTCATCCTGCGGGTCAACAAGGTCACTCTTGGTTCACTATGGCGGGACAACCAGGGGTCCGATGTTATCCCAGGCACATATGCGAGTTGGCTTCGCCATGGGATTGCCTACTGGAATCAAGATAATGTGCCCGGGCGAGTAGCGCTCTCGTTGATCCCTCCCACCAAGGTTGGAAAACTACTTATGTGAAGATCCACTGAGCATAACATGCCGGATGTGCTGTGTCCTAGCGCGTCTATAAATATCTAAGTCATAGGTGTTAGATCATCCCATAGCTGCGCATCTTTGGTAACAGGCTTGTCAATTTGCTTGCTTGCTTGGTTGAATATATCATAATACTTCCTTTTCTCTCTCCCTGCTTCTTACAGCCCAGAAATAGGAAATGGCTTTTGTGAACACATAGGTTACTAACAGAAATCTGACTATGTGAAATATATTGGTTGAAATGACAGGTATCAAATTCTCTGACTAACTAAAATGATAAAATCTGTCAAACCTCAAATACGGCCTCCCTAGGCCATAAACAGGAACCTTGGTTTTTGTTATGGTCTAGTGGAAAAGTACGCTGTATTTCGTTCAACAGAGCCCATTCATTGCAAACATGTTACATCGCACCAGGTAAGACAGACATAGGATCGCAATGGAGCAAATCACCCGGGTTACACATATAAAAGAAAGTCACCCAAATAGAGTATTGGTTGATTTAATTTCAGGCTTAATTACTTTAAGGCGAGAGTCCCAATATATCAATCGGTAAATATTATCATCCTGGTATATCGCCAGAGAATAATAACAGTTCGATAAATCTACTTCAATCTACTCGCAACAGTTACACACATGAAGTAGCAAGCAATGTTGCGCATCCCAACACATGCTTCTTTAAAACACGTGCGAAATAACTTGTTACCGCAAATCAAGTACTTAATTCGCTCGCTATAGAATGTATTAGCTGCGTGTTAATTTCCACGTGAAGTGGCGGGGGAGAAGTTACGGTCTGCTTGGACTCATCCTCCTGAGCGTGATTTCCTTTGACCTTACTACCAGCGCTAGTCTCTCCCTGAACGGAATAGTGAGCGTTGGGATCACCAAGGCTACTGTGGGACATGTTGCTAGTAATGGTTAATTAAGACGGCGTAGAAATATCGAACTAGTCACTCACGTTATTGTGAGTTGCTCCATTTGCCTCATGTCATCATCATTAAATAGTTTGCCGCTTTCAAAGGGCGCCTTGACCGTAGCAAGAGCCACGTCTTTCACAGCTTGGTCTATGACGCTGGTCCAGCGAATGAAGCCATTCCCTGAAGTAGCGATATAGACCGGGATATTTTTGTTGAGAACTTTGTTGAAGACCTGGCCGATGAGAGACATCTTGGTTTGGGTTCGAGGTCAGTAGAATATACACAAGTAGGAAGTGGCCGAGTTAATGCGTCGGGGAACTGACCCTCTTTATATATTCGATTAAATTTCATAGCTTCCTACCTCAATCCAACGAGATTGTATGAAAACATTATAGAATAAGTTTTTCGATAACAGGTTACATAATGCGGACAATATCTGCTACCTATTTGATCAAGCCCACTAATATCCAGACCATTTATGCTTGGTCATCCTAATATTCTAACATAAGCTAGACGTAAATGGGCTTGCTTTCGAGAAAGGAACATACCCTAAGGCATGTCCTGGCGTCGAATGGCTCAAAGGCATGTGTGATATAGCATAAGTTCCTATCTACTTGGCGGGTCTGATGTTCTTCTCGTTATGAAGCGGGCATCTCGTTAGAAAACTCAGCAATCGCCATAAAGTTAGAGGATAGGCGAGCAGGTGGATAATAGCACCTTCGAAGGCTTACAAGGCATGGATGGCTATGTGCTGGAACGGCTAGCTCGGCAGCAGCAGCAAGGAAATAACAGCGGAAAGAGCAACGAGAGTCATCCGCGTGAGGTATCACACATCCAGATTTAGGAGATTTAATTTACTCGCTAGCAACCACTATAGACAAGACACGATCCTCCAATTTGATTATATTACAAGGTCACGTAATTTTCAAATTTTCGAAATTCCCTTGATGCGAGCACAAATGAAGCGGATGGCCTTATTTTTGGATCAGGTACCAAAATGAAGCGAAGAAGATCTCTTAACTGCTGCGGCATCTCCACCTTTTTTGTCTCTTCGTCGAAGGGTAGGATCGCTTGTAGTTCTGGTACCTGTTTACTTAGAGATTGCGCAGAATTTAGTGTAACTTTAAGGGTATCGCCCTTCACCATTTCAGGAGTCGGAGTCTCCCAGTGGGGGAAGAGCCGCTGTATCTTTGCTATAGACCAAGCCTCGTTAATCAAAGGATGAGGGCTGTCCCATGCGCCCAATACACCAGGTTTGAGCCAGCAAAGTAGCATTGCGGCAACAGCCCAGACCTGTGATGGCTCAGTGCACGCTTTGCCTAGGAAGACTTCAGGGGCGCGCATAGCATATGGTTGGGCGTTAAAAAGTTCGCCAACCGGGACAACTATAAGCGGCTTAGTAAAGGCATGTCTCTCATATGAATACTTGCTCACCGAGTCCCAAGTCTCCCACTTTAGCGATAACACGGTCTGTCCGGTTGTCAGAAAGCAGGATATTGGCAGTTTTATAGTCTGGAGTAATTAGCAAATGCCAACTCTTCGAGGCTAGACATTCTACCTGTATTCACATGTTTGTGACGCTCCAGAACGACACAACTTGTGAACGCTGCTCTTAAAAACGTCTTGATGAGGGAGTAGATGCGCATGTCAGAATGGTATTCCACCTCTGCGAGAGTAGTATCCAACCATTCCAAAGCGATGGTGCTGTCGTCGATTACATCATACATTTTCCGGAAGCACTTCGCCGAGGCGACACCAGGAAGGCGATATGTCAGAATTTCACGTTGCATATTCTTAGTGGCATTTTCATCACTAGGCAACGCTACTTTGATCAAAGCCCTAGTTAGCAGAGTTAGCGTTAGAGTCCGAATATGGTGAGCGCAATACAACGAACCATTCAGGAACATCAGGGACGACGTGGGCGTCAAGTGGAACAACCTGGGCCTTAAAGACGGTGGAAATGTGCGTGTTATCTCCTTTGACAGGTTCCAGAACGCGGTAGTTCCAATAGGCGCCTCGGAGAACATGCCCAGGAGTAAGAGACGACATTCTTCTTGCCGAAGAGCTCCTTGCAGCAGATAAATTCAGACTGATGACTGAGTACATTGAAATCAATCGAAAAAATCACAATTATGACGGGATAGTGGATTCATATATATGAGGTGGATGGATGGATGAATACAAAAATGCAGGAAATCATGAAAGGTTGGAGGATCCTCTCGCGCACGGACTCATACTCAGGTGTGGCTGGGGAGGCAGTGTCGGTTCAATTGTTCAAGCTCCTTACCAATAAAAAAGATACACGAGAACCCTTGGATGAAAGGCTATACAACTTGAATATTCAAGGAGCTTGTGGTGTATTTCATACTCCAATGAGTATGGTTAATCATTGACGGATATTTATGTGAACCAGTAGGTTGAATTGGATATTTGCTTTGCGTTGCGATCGCATTCTCTTAGAATTGCCGGGCTTGTAAATCACAATACATCTTGATTATGCTGTTGTCGATGGACATAGCCATCAACTTATCCTAGGAGCTATGTCGGTTGCGAAAAAACGAGGCATTGTTTCGTGACAATCCTCTTTAGCCATAGTACTTGAACGCATCGAACTGAATTTACGAGCGGTGAAACGAGGACGATCTATGCTATTCTAGGCTCGTAATAAATGACTGCAAAATCACAAATAGTCGAGCTCAGGATCTGAGATCCAGTTGATCTTTTCTACTTTGGTTGTACCTACCTAGTTCTAGACTTGCTAGTTTTCTCTCCGGGTGGCGTCTTCTTGGCGCAGATATACATGATGCAGATCAAAATTAATCTAACTAGATCTGGCGACCCGGAGTCCGGGTCGGTAAATCTGGTTAGCGGATAATACGACCGGCAGCAAGTCTCACCAGGGACAGAGCGAGAAGCCGGTATTCTGTCTAGGTAGCTATGTTAGTGTTGGTGCGTTCGCTTCGACTTATTGATTCCTAAGTCTGGATGAAAACTGACCTGTCTATGTTTTGTTGCACAGAGCAAGTTGGGATATCATAATCGCGGGTGGGAGAAAAGCGAGAGCTGAATAGAAATCTGTGGGTAAGGCAGTGGACGGGAGAGGAGAACGAAATCAGAGCCTTATCAATGGAAAGATGCGGGATCAGCTTTGAAATGTGATGAATGTGCAGCTCAGAGCATGCCCCAGCGCCACCGGCGCGTCGCACGGGCCCTTCATGTTCTGGCCATTCCCCTCCACATCCCAGATATTGAATGCTACCATCGGAGAGGAATTTATCTTTTACTACTCAGTCCTCCTACTTTCATCAGCTTGCCTGACTATTAACCCATGTATCCCAATCGCTTGTTTCAGTGCCGGGGCGAGTCTCTCGTTTATATCCAGCACTTGGGATTTCGCATTCTCAAGCTTGAGAGTGCCTGCTCATCCCGTTATCCCGACTCCCTAGGAAGTCAGCAGCAGATAAGTACACAATGCAGGCCCTGTGAGGTCTGCCGGAACCCCAATCTTTACCAAGATCTCTGTGGTTCCCAAGAAATATCTGCCGATAGCATACAACTGGCCTCTGAAAGTCATGGCGACAATCAACCAATGGCCTCTGAAAGTTATGACGACGATCAATTAAGTCAACAAAGCAAAACTCCAGAGGGAACATACGCCTTCATCCCATACCAGCCATTAGTGACAATGGCATCCTCAGCCGTAAATGACTCTTCCACGCCGACGAAACCTGCACAAAGAAAAAAGAATCATTTGTCCTTGCTCACGTCCTTAGTTATTAATCTACCGAAATCTTCTGTTTGGAAAAACTGGATCTCTATCAATGAAACTCAACGAAAGAATGTCATTTTTTGCTTGGTATCTGGAATAGCCGTTCCGAAATATGATAGCCCTATCGCGTCCGAGCAACTTGTTGTGTCTGAGCAACCTGCCACTGTACCCATCCTGTTTGAAAAATTCGCCACATCCATGATACCGGTGGAAATGAGGGGCACCTCAGCAGAATCAGTAGCAAACAGTCCGTTTGCTTGCTTCAAGGAGCTTCTTTTCTGTTCACTATGTGCTGTCGCCTTGGAAGTCATGCCAAAAGAGGAAGTGTTTCAACACATGCAGTCGGTTTTCTGCTGTGACGCAAAACCAAAGGCTCTTAGAGGACGTATTCGTGGTGCAAAATGGGCAAACCGGGCCATTTATCTTTTATCGAGCACTGTCTGGGGCTCTTGCAGCTGGGACATCATCTATATTGGTATGAAACGTATTCCAGGTTTTTCTAGACAAGCTAACTTCTGGGATCGGCAGCTAGTAATCGAGTCAACTTTTATAGCGAGTTCAATGACTATACGATTAACCCCGATGAGTTGATAAAGGGGTTAAAGCCAGCGTTCAATCCAGACGATACTCAAACGATATCTGTCCTGCTCGCAATCCCTTCCATCATACGGAAAATTCTCGGAGATCTAGTACCGTATGCCACCCGCACGAAACGTCTTATACATCTTGGTTAATATTTCTTATAACAGACTCGAAAGGATTTGCGAATGCCTAGGGTATGAGCTTGGTGGCTATAATAAACTGGACCTTTCTGGTCTTGAAGAAATTCTTGCTGAGAAAACAAACACCGAGCATAGCAAGAAACGAAAAGGCGGGCCATGCATCACTCCATCAAAAAAGCGCCGTTGTGATCCGTCACCTACGTTACCAGAGAGTAAGATACCATGGAGAAACTTTCTTTTTCCGTCATTCGAAGTATGGAGACTGATCTTACAGGAGGTCCTTTTGAAAATTCTAACGGATCATCACATTCGCCGATCTATGCCACATCCTCTCCATCGGTACCAAATTCATGTTCAAATCCTCCGATTAATGAGCTTTTCGAGGACTCAACTAATGCATCGACCGCGACGGAAGGTTCACTGGAATCACCTGCGAATTCCGAAATAGACGACCTCTTCGAAGAACACCCAACCAGTACATCGACTCCAAATGAAAGTCCACTCAATAATGGTGCGACCGAAGCGAATGACGAAACAATGGATGGCAGTGTCAATGGTATTTACCTTAACACCTCGATCAACGACCCCTCCACGCCAGAAAGCATATCTTTTGATCACTCTCCCCCAAAGGACAACATGCCGGATCTTGCTCCTTCGCTTTCAAATGATATGCGCGCTCAATCATATCCTTCGGTGGTCGATTCTGAATCCGAGAATCGAGGAAGTCAACCTGCAACAAGTCTTCTTTCTGGGCCAAACATATTTCTAAATCTCGATGCCGAATCGTCTATGGTGACATCATCCACCAGTGCTGAGATGTTGGATCAGAATTCTCTTCAGCAGCGAGGGAAAGATAACTTTGGATTATTCAACATGGAGGGTGATACGGTGCAAGCTTACATTGAGGAAAATCATATTGAGTGACAACGAACGCACAATTTGGACATAGACCCCTTCTATGGATGGTTAAGCGAACCGGGTAGAGGTAGGGGTGGACGGAGTTCGGATAATGATAACCTATCACTACCACCGACAGGCTGGAGCCAGCTGTACAATTTGGCGACGAACGAGCTCTCTCCCCAACAGCAATTTGGGAGCGACCCTCAATTAAACAACCCTGGCTTGCCGAATCCACCGACAGGCTGGAACCAGGGTCCGTTTACAACCATGGAAAGCTTCAATCAACGTTGGAAACAAGCTCAGCCTCCATCTTCATCTAGATCACCCATGGCCTCGGAATCGTTTCACCAAAACGCTTCTTATTATCCTAGCAGTAGCATTCAAGTCAAGTAAAGAAGATAACAGACTCTTTAATAATAACAATATTAGAGGATTAATAGACTTGATATATTCTGCCCCAAAATATCAGCGAGGCACAATAAACAAAGAAGTTGCGCCAGCACCCAGAATCGGCTCATTATTAACTTGGATAAATGATCCGCTCTTCAACAAACCCCCAGGGTTCAGCTGAATTCCGCCCATTAATGGTATAAGATAGCCTTGTTTCCGAGGATTGATGATTTTCGTAGTTTTCGACCAATATCTCAATCGTCCCTCCCAAGTCTAATAATTAGGGTTAGTAAACCACCATAAACACAAGTTATGTTCTTACTTCATCAATTCCTAGCGCAATTTTCAAAGAAGTGATCAACGCTGGCAGCGCATCCCCGCCATACTCTTTGTTCCCATTCTCATCCTCGATAACAGTCGTAATTTGTGGTATTAATGCTTCGATCTCTTCCTGGACTTTCTTGGCTGCGAGGGGTAACTTAGAGGGCTCCATCGATTGCGACTGTGGGTTATCCTAAAAGTGCTTGACTTTAGCATTAGTCACAGCAATATGGATTGAAATAGCTTACCACTGGAGGAGCAAAACTCGAGTCTTCTTTATGTTGCAGTGGAGAGGGGTAAGTAAAGTTCTGAGTGGGGTGTATAATCATCGCTGTTTCAAAGTGAGATTCTGTAAGGATCGCATGGTTTCTATTGGATAGTGCTAAACACCAGTTATATTGTAGAGTTATTACATAACATGCCAAGCCCTCGCTTATCCAACATGAAACCCCTTTTTCCTGTGACCAACTGCTTGGTCCGAGCGCCGCTGAGTAGCGGCCTCAGGCGCCGAGAGTATGCAACCCTGCAATCCTCTCGGGAGCACAAAAGGTTGGGCACAAAGTCACATGATAAAGTGACCAAATTCGTTCTCGAAGGCAACGCCACCGACACAGTGCCTTTTATTTAGGAAGTTATATTAAGGGAACAGGGTGGGCTAGGCGATTTCTAACGTTCCTACCAAGTGCCAATCGCCAGATTCTCTAAACTGTTGGTAGGAAACTTGCTAAGGCGTCCTTTTATCTCCCTATATTTCTTTTAATAATTAAATTAATTCATGCAATTGTATACCTCGTCATATACCTTCTTGCCCCTTACCCCTTGCCCATAGGAGAATGGACGGTTCATGAGTCTATTAGACGCCACTTACCCCTATACTATGCCTGGCAAGCAGTGGAAACAGAGGAAACAAGCAAAGTGGAGAGTAGGGATTATCATCAGACTAGTCATTAGGGTTATGAAGGAGACATTTGAGCTCCCCACGGAAAACATGAATTATTCAGATAAACAGGGCAAAAAATTCACAAGTCGTTCTACACGTCACGACGAAGGGTTCGGACGAAAATCGTTGCTGCAACGCCCACTTTTACTTTCTCTTTTCTTCTCGACTGATCTCTCCTCTTCCGAACTTAGCTGCTCCGGAGGAGTTTGAGGTCGACGACGCTTTCCCACGCCCGGTCGGAGTCGATTGATAGAGCCTTGCTGAAGTGTCTGCACCCGCTGTTCTTCTTCGGCGCGCGAGAGAAAGTCACATAACTGTCTCGATGTTATTAAAAGTTCTCGGTCGAACCTCATATGCTCTCGCCAGAGGTCCTCCGTCGCGAAGTCCCTTAATGACAGCCGGAGCGCTGCTGCCTCAGCTGGAAGTCCAGACTCCGTCCGAAATGGCTAAAACCGTTAGCATCTGATTTTCAAAAAGACCACCACTCGAAGATGTACCAGCGCATCGACCACAGCAGTCGCCTGAAGCTCCTCTATGCCATCGACGGTTATATATTCTGGTCGCCATACGGTAATAGTCGCGTTCTTAGACCCCTTATAATCCACATCGAGAGCAATCACGGCGTTCACGCTCCCGTCGGTGTTCAGGATATACTCGTCGGCCAAGTGTGAGATGCGTTGACTTTTTTGTGAATAGCATACCTCTATAATAACACCGGGATAGCGTGCACGTCGGTGCTTGAATGATGCATCTGGCTCCCGTTTGGAAAAAGTCTGCTTTCCATCTTTTATCTCATCAGGTATCATGATTCGGGAAGTGGCAAGGTGCTCAACTTCATTCGCGAAAGCAGCGGAGGGGCCTTCGCTTCGTTGAAATTGCTTCAATTGTTGTAGTATCTCCTCGACTATCTTTGCACAGAAAACATCATGGAGAGGACTTGGCATTCGGATAGTCAGGCAGGAACGACAAGGGTCGTAGTCGTACCTATGATACAGCTGAATAAATGTCTTAGGATAGCGACGCTTGGCAGTACTCACCTAACTTTGTCTTCAACGTAATCTCGGAGAGAATCGTCACTATTCAGCATGTGTAAAGCTTCCCTATAATCGTCTAAAGCGAGCTGGTGCTGCCACCAAAACTGTGGCCTATGACCAACACGATGGAGCTTGAAACAATTTAGCACGCGTTGAGCACTTCTCGACGACACCTTTTCTTTCGTAAGCGGCGGCGTCAGAGGAGGCTCAACAAAACTCCCTGGTGGAGTAATTTCGGTTGCCATGAGAGGTGTACCATGTCTTTGGATATGGGTTGTCTAAGCCGCAGATCAGGGGGAAGCAATCCTGAGGTCGGTATCACGTGGTGATGTGATAAGATGGACAGATATCGCGTGATAAAGCCCCTGCTATGTGATTCCTCGTGTGGCTGAGTACAGAGCCAAGAGAATAAGTATTTTAGGAGGCAGCAGTTTGTCCAATCATATCGAATAGTGATGCAAATACAATGATAGTATGTATGCAGGTAAAACAGTATTCAATTGGATGGACGGGGAGAGAGAGAAGGTGAGAGTGGAAGGAAGACCATCTAGTTGGTCTATCCTACATGTGATGCATGTGATGCCTGAGGCATCCAACAAATATGTTGTATATCCTACCCCGTGCAGGGATATACTCCTCCTGTGATCACGTGATTGCTTGATTGGCTCTCGGTGGCCCATCTGTGTACCCGGTGGGTCACCACTGATTGGTGACGGGTAGGTCCGTAACACATCACCAATTTCTTCCACACGAGATCTTCAATTGGGATGAAACCGGCTACCGAATTGGCAAAGGTAAAGCACGTAAGGTTATTACCTCGCGTACAACCAGTTATATTGCTACAGGAGG